TCGTCTGTTATCTCTGACACTTGTTATCTCTGCTCGCCTGTTATCTCTGACACCTGTTATCTCTGCTCGTTTGTTATCTCTGACACCTGTTATCTCTGCTGACCTGTTATCTCTGTGGCCTGTTATCTCTGCTCACCTGTTATCTCTGCTCGTCTATTATCTCTGCTCGTCTATCTCTGCTCGCCTGTTATCTCTGACTTTTTTTTTTATCTCTGCTCATCTATTATCTCTGCTCGCCTGTTATCTCTGACGCCTGTTATCTCTGCTCGTCTATTATCTCTGCTCGCCGGTTATCTCTGATGTTTTTTATCTCTGCTCGTCTATTATCTCTGCTCGTCTGTTATCTCTGCTCGCCTGTTATCTCTGCTCGCCTGTTATCTCTGACACCTGTTATCTCTGCTCGCCTGTTATCTCTGACACCTGTTATCTCTGCTCGTCTATTATCTCTGACACTGTTATCTCTGCTCGTCTATTATCTCTGACACCTGTTATCTCTGCTCGTCTATTATCTCTGACACCTGTTATCTCTGCTCGTCTATTATCTCTGACGTTTTTTTATCTCTGCTCGTCTGTTATCTCTGATGCCTGTTATCTCTGCTCGTCTATTATCTCTGCTCGTCTGTTATCTCTGACGCCTGTTATCTCTGCTCGCCTGTTATCTCTGCTCGTCTATTATCTCTGCTCGTCTATTATCTCTGCTCGTCTGTTATCACTGCTCGCCTGTTATCTCTGATGCCTGTTATCTCTGCTCGCCTGTTATCACTGCTCGCCTGTTATCTCTGACACCTGTTATCTCTGCTCGTCTATTATCTCTGCTCGTCTATCTCTGCTCGCCTGTTATCTCTGACACCTGTTATCTCTGCTCGCCTGTTATCTCTGCTCGCCTGTTATCTCTGCTCGCCTGTTATCTCTGATGCCTGTTATCTCTGACACCTGTTATCTCTGCTCGCCTGTTATCTCTGCTCGTCTGTTATCTCTGACACTTGTTATCTCTGCTCGCCTGTTATCTCTGACACCTGTTATCTCTGCTCGCCTGTTATCTCTGCTCGTCTGTTATCTCTGACACCTGTTATCTCTGCTGACCTGTTATCTCTGTGGCCTGTTATCTCTGCTCACCTGTTATCTCTGCTCGTCTATTATCTCTGCTCGTCTATCTCTGCTCACCTGTTATCTCTGACTTTTTTTTTATCTCTGCTCATCTATTATCTCTGCTCGCCTGTTATCTCTGACGCCTGTTATCTCTGCTCGCCGGTTATCTCTGATGTTTTTTATCTCTGCTCGTCTATTATCTCTGCTCGTCTGTTATCTCTGCTCGCCTGTTATCTCTGCTCGCCTGTTATCTCTGCTCGCCTGTTATCTCTGACACCTGTTATCTCTGCTCGCCTGTTATCTCTGCTCGTCTATTATCTCTGCTCGTCTGTTATCTCTGACGCCTGTTATCTCTGCTCGTCTATTATCTCTGACGTTTTTTATCTCTGCTCTCGTCTATTATCGCTGCTCGTCTGTTATCTCTGCTCGCCTGTTATCTCTGCTCGCCTATTATCTCTGCTCGCCTATTATCTCTGCTCGCCTTTTATCTCTGGCGCCTGTTATCTCTGCTCGCCTGTTATCTGTGCTCGCCTATTATCTCTGACACCTGTTATCTCTGCTCACCTGTTATCTCTGCTCATCTATTATCTCTGCTCGCCTGTTATCTCTGCTCGCCTGTTATCTCTGCTCATCTATTATCTCTGCTCGCCTGTTATCTCTGACGCCTGTAATCTCTGCTCACCTGTTATCTCTGCTTGCCTGTTATCTCTGCTTGCCTGTTATCTCTGCTCGCGTGTTATCACTGCTCTCCTATTTCTGCTCGCCTGTTATGTCTGACGCCTATTATCTCTGCTCGTCTGTTATCTCTGCTCGTCTGTTATCTCTGCTCGCCTGTTATCTCTGCTCGTCTGTTATCTCTGCTCGTCTGTTATCTCTACTCGCCTGTTATCTCTGACGCCTCTTATCTATGCTCGCCTGTTATCTCTGATGCCTGTTATCTCTACTCGCCTGTTATCTCTGACGCCTCTTATCTATGCTCGCCTGTTATCTCTGATGCCTGTTATCTCTACTCGCCTGTTATCTCTGACGCCTCTTATCTATGCTCGCCTGTTATCTCTGATGCCTGTTATCTCTGCTCACCTGTTATCTCTGCTCGCCTGTTATCTCTGATGCCTGTTATCTCTGCTCGCCTATTATCGCTGCTCGCCTGTTGTCTGCTGCTCGCCTATTATCTCTGCTCGTCTATTATCTCTGCTCTTCTATTATCTCTACATATATATATATAAAGACCATATATAAGGTGCAGCGCTATAATAACATATAAAACACAAAAGTGCCACTATCAAATCACACTGCGGTGAAGTTAGATGAGATGAATAATAGTCTTAAAATAAATCAGAAGTGGGGATCCAAACGATCCTAATAGGTGCGTGGGATAAGATTCTGTGCAGCACACGGTGACTCTGAGGTAAGAATTACGCACTCACCAGAAGTGCGTTAAAAAAACGCATGTAGGTTTTATCCTGTAATATCAGAAAACGATCATCCGTTGCCAAGATAGAGATAGAATCCTACACCTTCCAGATCGCCCCTTGGGTATGTGCTTCAAGTTTCATAAGCGCATCTCAGGCATATCACCATCCGGGGTCCCCTTTTAAGGCAGGTTCTGCAAGTGGGGACTCTCATAGAAGAGAGCCCAATAAGTGACACCACATAGTGTAATACCGTATGAGCTAGGTTTATTGAAGATGCAGCATGAAAATGAATACAAAGCAGTAAAATAGAATAGAACACTGACCAGATACTGTAAAGGATGACCACCCCTAAGGGGGGCTGCATTATCTGGACGTCTGACCACCGCTGGTGGTCATCCTTTACAGTATCTGGTCAGTGTTCTATTCTATTTTACTGCTTTGTATTCATTTTCATGCTGCATCTTCAATAAACCTAGCTCATACGGTATTACACTATGTGGTGTCACTATGTGGACCCCGGATGGTGATATGCCTGAGATGCGCTTATGAAACTTGAAGCACATACCCAAGGGGCGATCTGGAAGGTGTAGGATGCACTTCTGTCTACAAACTCTAGATGGCAGCGCAGTAGAACTGTCTGAGGTCAGATCTGTCCAAAGGGCAAGCTAATTTTAATTCTGGATGATACAACTACAGTGAGGCGGGCGTCCTGCGTATGTCTCTGCGTATCTCTCTGCGTACGACTCTGCGTGTGTCTCCGCGTATGTCTCTGCATTTCTGCGTATCTCTGTGTATCTCTCTGCGTTTGTCTCTGCGTATCTCTCTGCGGACGACTCTGCGTACAAATCTGTGTAAGATTCTGCGTGTGTCTCTGTGAATATCTCTGTGTATCCCTCTGCGTATGTCTCTGCTTATCTGTGTATCTCTGCGTATGTCTCTGTGTATCTCTGCTGCGTATGGCTCTGTATGTCTCTGTGTATCTCTGCGTATGGCTCTGTATGTCTCTGTGTATCTCTGCGTATGGCTCTGTATGTCTCTGCGTATCTCTGTGTATCTCTCTGCGTATAACTGCGTATGTCTCTGCTTATCTCTGCGTATATATCTCTGTGTATCTCTACATGTCTCTGTGTATCTCTGCATATCTCTCTGCGTATGACTCTGCGTACGACTCTGTGTATGTCTCTGTGTATCTCTGCGTACAACTCTGCGTATGACTCTGCTTATGTCTCTGCATATCTCTGCCTGTCTCTGCATCTCTCTCTGCGTATCTCTGCATCTCTCTCTGCGTATGTCTCTGCATATTTCTCTGCGTATCTCTTCGTATGTCTCTGCATATTTCTCTGTGTATCTCTGCGTATGTCTCTGCATCTCTCTCTGCATCTCTCTCTGTGTATCTCTGTGTGTATTTCTCTGCATATCTCTGTGTATCTCTGCATATGTCTCTGTGTATCTCTGCGTATCTCTGTATATGTCTCTGTGTATCTCTGCGTGTCTCTGTGTATCTCTGTATATGTCTCTGCGTATGACTCTGCATATCTCTCTGCGTATCTCTGCATCTCTCTCTGCGTATCTCTCTCCGCGTATCTCTGCGTATGTCTCTGCATCTCTCTCTGTGTATCTCTCTGCATCTCTCTCTGCGTACGTCTTTTCGTATGTCTCTGCATCTCTCTCTGCGTATATCTCTGCGTATCTCTCTCCGCTCGTATCTCTGCGTATGTCTCTGCATATGTCTCTGTGTATGTCTCTGCATCTCTCTCTGCGTACGTCTCTTCGTGTGTCTCTGTGTATCTCTCTGTGTATGACTCTGCATATGACTCTGTGTATGTGTCTGCGTATCTCTCTGTGCATTTCTGCGAATATCTCTGCGTATGTCTCTGCGTATGTCTCTGTGTATCTCTGTATGTCTGTATGTCTCTGTGTATCTCTCCGCTTATGTCTCTGTGTATCTCTGCACATGTCTCTGCTTTTCTCTGCGTATAACTCTGTGTATGTCTCTGCATATCTCTGCGTATGTCTCTGCATCTCTCTCTGCGTACGTATCTTCATGTGTCTCTGCGTATCTCTCTGCGTACGACTCTGCGTATGTCTCTGTGTATCTCTGCGTATGTCTCTGTATATCTCTGCATATCTCTCTGCGTATGACTCTGCGTGTCTCTGCATATGACTCTGCGTATGTCTCTGCATATCTCTGTGTATCTCTGCATCTCTGTCTGCGTATCTCTGTGTATGTCTCTGTGTATCTCTGCGTATGTCTCTGCGTATGTCTCTGCGTATGTCTCTGTGTATCTCTCTGCGTATGTCTCTGCTTATGTCTCTGTGTATCTCTGCGTATGTCTCTGCTTTTCTCTGCGTCTCTCTCTGCATATCTCTGCGTATGTCTCTGCTTTTCTCTGCGTATGTCTCTGCGTATGTCTCTGTGTATCTCTGCATATGTCTCTGTGTCTCTCTCTCTCTGCGTGTGTCTCTGCGTATAACTGCGGTTCCTATATATTGCAGTCTCTCCGCCCACCCTGGACCCCATACAGTGCTCCCCCGCACCCCCTGAGTTTGGGCAGAAGGTGACGTTGTCCTGCAGAATCAGTAACATGTACCCCGGAGATCCCGCCATTCAGTGGTATCGGTCTCTGATCAAATATACCGACGAGAAATGGAAGGACCACATCCAGGAAGATCCCCAGTCCAGGATGTTCTCCGGAACCACAGAGCTGACACTCACTCCCACGTTGGAGGAACACGGCGTCCCCATCCGCCTGGAGGTCACACATGGGGGGAAAAGACTGTCATTAGAGAATATACGCTACACCTGAAAGGTAATCCGAGCTCCGCTCTCCTTCCAGACCATGGATGATGTACACCGGGGGAGGGGGGGATGTACACCGGGGGAGGGGGGATGTATACCCCGGGGGAGGAGGGATATACACCGGGGGAGGGGGGATATACACCAGAGGGGGGATGTATACCCGGGGGGAGGGGGGATATACACCGGGGGGGGGAGGGGGATATACACTGGAGGGGGGATGTACACCTGGGAGGGGGGATGTACACTGGGGGAGGGGGGAAATACGCTGGAGGGGGATGTGCACTGGGGGGGGGGGGGATATACACTGGAGGGGGGATGTACACCGGGGGGGAGGGGGGATGTACACCAGGGGAGGGGGATGTACACTGGGGGGGGAGGTGCACCGGGGAAGGGGGATGTACACCGGGGGAGGGGGAGGTACACCGGGGGAGGGGGGGGGGATGTATACCGGACGGGGGATATACACCAGGGGGGGGGGATGTACAGAGGGGGAGCGATGTACACACCGGGGGGAGGGGCGATGTACACCGGGGGGACGGGGGGGATATACACCAGGGGGGGGGATGTACACTGGGGGGGGGGGGGATGTATACCCCGGGGAGGGGGGGGAAGGGAATGAGTCGGGAAGGGATGGTGGAAGTATACCCCGGAGGGGGGGGGGCAGAAGTATACCCCGGAGGGGGGGGGGCAGAAGTATACCCCGGAGGGGGGGGGCAGAAGTATACCCCGGAGAGAGGGGGGGGGGGCAGAAGTATACCCCGGGGAGGGGGGCGGAAGCAATAGCATATCCTGGGGAGGGGGGGGGAGCGGAGGCATACCCCAGGGAGGGGGGAGGGGTGGAGGGATACCTGGGGGGCAGAAGTAAGCTCCTCTGGTGCAGAGACTGATGTGCCCATTTCATGTTCTTCCTCCTCAGGGGTCCCAGTTCTCAGTGAGATCTCCAGTGATCCCCGTATACCGGATTATGGAAAGTCTCTGACTCTGCGCTGCGATGTGGATGGCTGTAATCCCGGACACACCCCTGAGGTCATCTGGTCAGAGGGTGGAACAGTGCTGAGGAGAGAAGAGCAGAGAGTGACCCGAGGCAGAGGAGACGTTCTGTCCTGTTCTCTGACCTTCACACCGACAGCTGAGAATAGTGGGCGGGTCTATACCTGCAGAGTGACGCACAGAAACATGGAACATTCTAGTGCCAAAAACCTGCACCTGAGGCTCCCAGGTAAGGGAAGGAAATGGGGGCACAGAAAACTCCTCCCCTCTGTAGTGAGTGCCAGGGAGGCTGCTCACCATCGGTCTGGTAGTATAAGTGGGGGAGGTGATGGGACATGCGCAGCACGCTGCCTGCTGTACCCCTTTCTGGCTGTGACCAAAACGTGGGTGTGGCCAAAGTTGGGAGTGGCCAAGTATGTCACTTCCCCCTTTGTACAAGTGAAAAATGGCCTGGGGGCCACTAGAGAGATTGTTAGAATAATGAGCGCAATTGGGAACAGCAATGATAAGCTGCAACAAGTGCCTGGGCCAGCGACAACCCCCAACATATGTCAGGGCCAGCGACAACCCCCAACATATGTCAGGGCCAGCAACAACCCCCAACATATGTCAGGGCCAGCAACAACCCCCAACATATGTCAGGGCCAGCAACAACCCCCAACATATGTCAGGGCCAGCGACAACCCCCCACATATGTCAGGGCCAGCGACAACCCCCCAACATATGTCAGGACCAGCGACAACCCCTCACATATGTCAGGGCCAGCAACAACCCCCAACATATGTCAGGACCAGCGACAACCCCCAACATATGTCAGGACCAGCGACAACCCCCAACATATGTCAGGGCCAGCGACAACCCCCAACATATGTCAGGGCCAGCGACAACCCCCAACATATGTCAGGACCAGCAAAAACCCCCAACATATGTCAGGACCAGCAAAAACCCCCAACATATGTCAGGACCAGCAAAAACCCCCAACATATGTCAGCGCCAGCAATAACCCCCAACATATGTCAGGGCCAGCGATAACCCCCAACCGAAGTCAGGACCAGCAAACAACCCCCAACATATGTCAGGACCAGCAATAACCCCCAGCAAGTGTGAGGACCAGCAATACACATCCACACACCGTACATCACACACCGCGCATCACACATCACACACCGTACATCACACACCGCACATCACACGTCACACACCGTACATCACACACCGCACATCACGCATCACACACCGTACATCACAGATCACACACTGTACATCACACACCGTACATCACACACCGTACATCACACACCGTACATCACACATCGTACATCACACATCGTACATCACATCTTACATCACACACCGTACATCACACATCGCACATCACACATCGTACATCACACACCGTACATCACACACCGTACATCACGCATCACACACCGTACATCACACACCGCACATCACACACATCACACACCGTACATCACACACCGCACATCACGCATCACACACCGTACATCGCACACCGTACATCACAGCATCACACACCGTACATCGCACACCGTACATCACGCATCACACACCGTACATCACAGATCACACATGTACATCACACCACCGTACATCACACACCGTACTCGTACATCACACACCGTACATCACACTTCGTACATCGCACACCGTACATTCACACACCGTACATCGCACACCGTACATCACGCATCACACACCGTACATCACACACCGTACCCGTACATCACACACCGTACATCACACATCGTACATCACACACTGTACATCACACATCGTACATCACACATCGTACATCACACACCGCACATCACACCGTACATCACACACCGTACATCACACATCGTACATCACACCGTACATCACACCACCGTAATCACACACCGTACATCACACATCACACACCGTACATCACACATCGTACACACACCCGTACATCACACACCGTACATCACACATCGTACATCACACATCGTACATCACACACCGCACATCACACACCGTACATCACACACCGCACATCACACACCGCACATCACACACCGCACATCACACATCGTACATCACACATACCGTACATCACACGTACATCACACACCGTACATCGTACATCACACATCGTACATCACACATCGTACATCACACACCGCACATCACACACCGCACATACACACCACCGTACATCACACACCGTACATCGTACATCACACATCGTACATCACACATCGTACATCACACACCGCACATCACACATCGTACATCACACATCGTACATCACACACTGTACATCACACATCTTACATCACACATCGTACGTCACACACTGTACATCACACACCGTACATCACGCATCACACACCGTACATCGCACACCGTACATCCACGCATCACACACCGTACATCACAGATCACACACCAAACATCACACACCGTACATCACACACCGTACATCACCACACACCGTACATCACACACACCGTACATCACACACCGTACATCACACACCATCGTACATCGCACACCGTACATCACACCACCGTACATCGCCTACCACACGTACATCACGCATACACACCCCGTACATCACACACACCGTACATCACACACCGTACATCACAATCGTACATCACACACTGTACATCACACATCGTACATCACACATCGTACATCACACACCCCGCACATCACGTACCAACACGTACATCACACATCCCAATACCGTACATCACACATCGTACATCACACACCGTACATCACACACCGTACATCACACATCGTACATCACAACACCGTACATCACACACCGTACATCACACCGTACATCACACACCGTACATCACACATCGTACATCACACACCGTACATCACACAAGACCCGTACATCACACATCGTACATCAACATCGCACATCACACACCGCACATCACACCCCCCCTACATCACACACCGCACATCACACACCGCACATCACACACCCCACATCACACATCGTACATCACACACACCGTACATCACACACCGTACATCGTACATCACACATCGTTACATCACACATCGTACATCACACACCGCACATCACACATCGTACATCACCCATCGTACATCACACACTGTACATCATCTTACATCACACATCGTACGTCACACACTGTACATCACACCGTACGTCACACATCACACACCCGTACATCACACACTGTACATCACACACCGTACGTCACACATCACACACCGTACATCATACATCCGTACATCACACACCCGTACATCGCACATCACACATTGTAACATCACAACACCGTACATCACACACCGTACATCACACACCGTACATCACGCATCGTACATCACGCATCGTACATCACACACCGTACATCACACATCACACACCGTACATCACACATCGTACATCACACATCGTACATCACACATCAACACATCGTACAATCACGCATCGTACATCACACATCGTACATCACACATCGTACATCAACACACCGTACATCACACACCGTACATCACACACACCGTACATCAAACACCGTACATCACACATCGTACATCACACATCACACATCACCACATCGTACATCACGCATCGTACATCACACATCGTACATCACACACCGTACATCACACACCGTACATCACACATCACACACCGTACATCACGCATCGTACATCAACGCATCGTACATCACACATCGTACATCCACACACCGTACATCACACATCACACATCGTACATCATCACACATCGTACATCACACATCGTACATCACACACCGTACAACACACCACCGTACATCACACATCATACATCACACATCGTACAAGCACACATCACACACCGTACATCACGCATCACACATCATACATCACACATTACAGATCATACAGCAGGTCCCAGCCAATGATTTATGACTGAGACCTGGTGTATCCAATCACAGCCCAGAGTCCCTGTATCTACAAACCCCATGGGACTCTGCAACACACATCAGTGATCTGGCTGTTTCTTCTTCCTGCAGAGGCAGACCTGTGAGTAGGAGCATATCACACACATGACACTTGGATCACAGTTAAACCCCTTGATTGTCGCGTGTTGTGTCCCCCCTTCCCAGCCGTGTCATTAGTACAGGAAGAGTGTTGCAGTATTAGTGTCACCATTGATTTCAGTGTCAGTTATTGTCTCACCCCAGCCAGTGTCTGTTAGCGCCAGATTGCCCGCCACATTATCACAGCCCCATACAAGTCGCTAATCACAGTCATTACCAGAATACCTCATAGCTGCAGACATTCCGATATAACTTTCACACAGACCAGTCATATATGTACACTGATTGGGAATCTTTATATTACTATTGATTCTATATTAGAATGTGGAAGATAATAGTGACTGGATCAAGGTCATACATGACCGGGCTGTCATGTACAGGAGGCGAAGACCCCTACTTCCATCCCGTGTGACCGGAGCATCCCCCCCCCCCCCCCCCCCCAGATCTGAGACATATCATTTTAGTATCTCTGGAATGGCAGTGATCATTGGCCGCCAGTAGCAACGTCAAGGCTGCATTCACAACTGACCATTTTGTAGCTCGAAGCTCCAAAAAGTTCCAACTTAGAAAACTGTTCTCTATGGTGCCTGTTCACACACCTGATCGCAATGAACGGGCACCATAGAGAACAACTGTTTTTTTTTAAGTTTGAGTGTTTTTGGAGCTTCGAGCTTCAAGCTACAAAACGCTCCGAGTATAAATGCAGCCTAAGGGACTGAGTCTGAGAGGAAACACTGGTAGGAGCAGCTCTCAGTTCAGCTGTTACACTGGCCCCAGACACCCGGTATCTTTCTCTATCGTTTCTTCCTCCTCCCCTCAGCTGGAGGATCATTCATGACATGCCGGCGTCCCACACAGAGAGAGTACTGGCAGTTCTGCGCCCAGGTGCCCCTAGGTGGCAGTGCTGCGCCCAGGCGCCCCTAGGTGACAGTGCTGTGCCCAGGCGCCCCTAGGTGGCAGTGCTGGCGCCCAGGCGCCCCTAGTGGCAGTGCTGAGCGCAGGCGCCCCTAGGTGGTGGCAGTGCTGAGCGCAGGCGCCCCTAGGTGGCAGTGCTGCGCCCAGGCGCCCCTTGGTGGCAGTGCTGCGCCCGGTGCCCTAGGTGGCAGTGCTGAGCCCCAGGCAGGCGCCCTAGGTGGCAGTGCTGAGCCCAGGCGCCCCTAGTGGCAGTGCTGAGCACCAGGCGCCCCCAGGTGGCAGTGCTGTGCCCAGGCGCCCCCAGGTGGCTGTGCTGAGCCCAGGCACCCCTAGGTGGCAGCAGTGCTGCGCCCCTAGGTGGCAGTGCTGTGCCCAGGCCACCCCTAGGTGGCCTCACGCCTAGTGGAAGCACCGGCCCTGTGTATGAAGTGCAGACTTCTGTGTTCATTATGACTTCTCTTGCTGAGTTTTCTGAAAATCCACTGAAGTCGGTCAGAATTCTGGGAAGTTCTGCGTTTTGTGGTGACAACAGATAGGTGGAGATGGTAGCCTTGTGTCCGGATTCCTGGCATCCATTCCCCGGGGACACGGCTCCTCTCCAGAACGGTTCCTCAGTCAGATGAATGGACTTTATCCTTCCATGAGATGTGTCATGGAGGACCTCTGATGAACAGCCGGAATCTTCTATCCTTCCATCGTATCTCTCTACACTCCATACACAGAATAACAAATGTCTATATTTATCATTACAGAGAGACCGCCCACATTATCGGACATTATTGTGCATCCAATGAGAGTGTGGCAGCCAATCAGAAAGCCTCATTCAATGTAACAATATCTGGATTCTCCCCCCGAGACCTACAAATAAAATGGTTTTTAAGGAGTTCAGCACCTTCCCCCAATCTGAGGTGACAATATTGGATCCAGAGATCGGATCGGACGGTCTGTATAAATCTTCCAGCACGCTGGCCTTCACCCCGAAGATGGCCGATGATAAAACGTCCATCCGGTGTGAGGTGACACACAGTCAGTCCAAGACCGTCCGAGAGAAGAGATATACTCTGCACCTGACAGGTGAGATCCCCGTGTATCCTTCATATGTATGATGTGTTCATATGTCATTCATTTGACGAGTCCAGGGATAGGGATGTCCAGAGGGGGCGCTTCATCTACATCTGATCACCCTCAGCCAATAGGATTAGGTGGTGGATTCTTTAGATGAGTCCAGGGATAGGGCTGTCCAGAGAAGGGGCTCCATGTCCATGTTCCGGTGGAATGCAGACAGGAGGAGGAGAGCAGAAGGAGGAGGAGAACGGTGCTGGCCATGCCGCTTATCACAGAGGGAATAGTAGTCATGGGGAAAGGTGTTCTTATAGAGGACCTGTGTGGTGAAAGCAGACGACAACGGACCGACCATCACTGTCTCCTGTGATCTCCCTGCAGCTGATCTTTTCTCCATTACTGACTCTCCATGCCTTGTTCTGCACAATGTCTACATGGAGGCAGCCATCTTGGTGGAGGCAGGGCTTTTCTTCCTCAGGTCAGAGCTGCCCCCTGATGACGGCTAATCTGATGGCTGGAGGGGTAATGATAGAGGTGGAGGAAGCATAGATCCACGGAATGGGTGAAGCAAAAAGCAGAGAGTTCCTCAGGTACAGCTTCCCCTCCAGAAAGCAGCACTGAAGTGACACCCAATCTGGTGAGACCAGCAGTCAGAGACAGCAGAGCCTTAGATGATCTCACACTGCAGATATACAGCTATGAGGATACAGAACAGGAAGTGCCCAGTAAGTGTGCTGCTGGTTGTAAGGAGGAGTTCAAACCAAAGGGCAGATTTCTCTGCTTATCTACAATTAACATTTCCTGACGTTCCCCATAAAAAACGGCAAATCTTTATCTTTGAGCTCAGGTCCCACTTTGTCATGTCGTTGTGGCCCCAGACTATGGCCAGCCCCCAGGTCTCCCATCCTGCGGACACTGAGGGGGATGGGATTTATTTGGGGGTGATTTGGGGGCTCTGTGCCTTTGGGGTCTCTGATGTTAAGTTCAATGAACACCAGCTATACCTACACGGACTCCCACCCCTATACAAGGCATGTCTACCCTGTGAAAGGGAAGATGGCTATACTTACCTATTCTGGAGTCGCTCTGGTCCGGTCACATGATCTCCACACTGAAGCCGATACTGGAGAGGAGGGAGAGCAGACAACGTATGCCACATAGTAAGCCTATGGGTGATGTCATCATGCTGGCTCTGCACCTGTTGTCACTGCCTCTATACTGATGCCGGTCATGTGACCGGACCGGAGTGCTGTCAGGGATCCGGGTATGACCAGAAGTGTGTGTGGACTGACACAGGGAAACGCAGGCTTCAGGTATAGTAAATAATATAATTTATTAAGACTAACAATACAAACGCAGCGCAATACTAAACATAACACAGTGCAAACAAACTGAACCAAACCTCCAACAGATAACAAACATACAAGAGTAGTCACGCAGGCCGGGTTGGTAGCAAACGGAGTACCAGGAGCAGGCGGGAGAGTGGTCAGGACTAGCCGAGGTTAGTACAGGCAGAGTTCAAGCAGAGTCAGGACAGCAGGAACAGGATCAGGAAACCAGGGCCAAGCGAACAGTACAACAAGGCACTGACTGCAGGTCTGGCCATCCTTTAAATACACCACCTGCAATCAGCCCAGGTGATGGCTAATTGCAGGAGTGAGCCTCTGGTTGTTGAGAGCACCCGCTGGCCAGACCTGGTACTGCAGCCCACAGGTGAGTCCCACCACTATTGGCAAGTCCATTCCTGACAGTACCCCCCCTCAAGGAGCGTCCTCAGGACGCTCCAAACAGTCCTAGCTGGGCAAAATGTTCCACCACCCAGGTCCGGTAACTGGCAGGATATCAAAGACTGGCACATCAGGGTGGGCACCAGACGGAGGCACATTGGGCTGGGCACCGAACGGAGGCACATTGGGCTGGGCACCGGACGGAGGCACATCGGGCTGGGAACCGGACGGAGGCACATCGGGCTGGGCACCGGACGGAGGCACATCGGGCTGGGCACAGGACAGAGGCACATCGGGCTGGGCACCGAACAAAGGCACATCGGGCTGGGCACCAGACGGAGGCACATCGGGCTGGGCACCGAGTGGAGGCACATCAGGCTGGGCACCGGACGGAGGCACATCGGGCTGGGCACCGGACGGAGGCACATCAGGCTGGACACCGGGGCACCAGGCGGAGCAGCGGGGGCACCGGGCCACCTGGCGGAGCAGCGGGCACCGGGCCACCTGGCAAGACAGCGGGCACCGAGTCATCTGGCAAGACAGCGGGCATCGAGTCATCTGGCAAGACAGCGGGCTCCTAGTCATCTGGCAAGACAGCAGGCTCCGAGTCATCTGGCAAGACAGCGGGCATCGGGTCGTCAAGTTCGACAGCAGGCACCGAGTGATCTGGCAAGACAGCGGGCACCGAGTCATCTGGTTCGACAGCGGGCACTGGGTCATCAGGCATTGGATCGTCTGGCTCGACAGCGGGCATCGGGTCACCAGGCATCAGGTCATCTGGCTCAACAGCTGGCATCGGTCATCTGGCATTAGGTCATCTGGCTCGACAGCGGGCATCGGGTCATCATGCACGACAGTGGGCACTGGGTCATCAGGCATTGGATCGTCTGGCTCGACAGCGGGCATCGGGTCACCAGGTCATCTGGCTCGACAGCGGGCACCGAGTCACCTGGCATGATAGGATCATCAGGCTGGATCAGTTCATCAGGCTGGGTAGAGACATCAGGCTGAATCGTGGGCACCGAGGCACCAGGCTGCACCACGGAAGGCGGGTTCTCAGATGGCAGGCTGACCGGTTTGGATACTGGCAGGATGGTACTGGTTGGAAAGAATTTTCGCCTTTTCCTGGTTTTAGTTACTGGAGCACAGGAAGTAAGTGCAGGTTTGTAAGTGGATAGAGCAGCTGTAGGCAGAGAAGAGCTGGAGGATGGAACAGAGGAGGGAGCAGTTGCTACAGAGGACTTCTTTACAGGGTTAAAGGCAGGATAGGTGCAGCGAGTGGGAGCAGAGGACTGACATGCGGTAGATAGCAGAGTATACTGGGCTGTCACTGGGGGTGCTGTCGGGGATGCAGGAAGAGTGCCTTGAGTGGAGGAATGAAGTTGTAAGCTGACTGAGGCTGGGTGCAACAAGTCTGACCATGTTTGCAGTATGGGTTGAACAAAGCTGAGCTTACACAAAGCCTGTCTGACCAATGACTGCACTGCGTTTATACAATCTCTTAGTGTCTGTGGTGAACATGCAGCATAACGCTCCAAGAAGCAATCCACATCATCCTCTAATAACCATACCAGGGACTCTACCTGGTCTGCACTAAATGGTGGCAAAAAGTCATTCCTGCTTTCAGGGGCACCAGATGAAGCCAACTCTGCACAAACCTGAATCAAAGGTTGCACCTCAGAGAATTCTATGCCCTGATTTACTAGAACATGAGCGACCCGTATACATTCTAGCAGTTGATCCCGGGGATACTCCTTCAGAGTCTGATAAGCATATTCTCTGTCATCAAAGACCAGCAGAGACAAATACACCACCTCATCAGGATGCATCCTTCCCAGCAACAAGCCAAGATGGCTTCCCTGTGTAGCCACTTCTGGTCAGGATTGGCCTTGTTGTAATGTCAGGGATCCGGGTATGACCAGAGGTGTGTGGACTGACACAGGGAAACGCAGGCTTCAGGTATAGTAAATAATATAATTTATTAAGACAAACAATACAAACGCAGTGCAAAACTAAACAAACACAGTGCAAACAAACTAAACCAAACCTCCAACAGATAACAAACATACAAGAGTAGTCAGGCAGGCCGGGTTGGTAGCATACGGGCAAACGGAGTACCAGGAGCAGGCGGGAGAGTGGTCAGGACTAGCCGAGGTTAGTACAGGCAGAGTTCAAGCAGAGTCAGGACAGGAGTAACAGGATCAGGAAACCAGGGCCAAGCGAACAGTACAACAAGGCACTGACTGCAGGTCTGGCCATCCTTTAAATACACCACCTGCAATCAGCCCAGGTGATGGCTAATTGCAGGAGTGAGCCTCTGGTTGTTGAGAGCACCCGCTGGCCAGACCTGGTACTGCAGCCCACAAGGCAGGTGAGTCCCACCACTATTGGCAAGTCCATTCCTGACAAGTGCCCTCAGCTTAGGGGTAGATAAAATAGACTTAGAATGGGGGGGAGGGAGGAGACTTAAGCTTGGTTGGGGTTTGACTGAACTTCCATTTTAATGCTATTGATGACGTCACCACGTAATAATTTACGTTTATTTTATTGGTAAATATTTCTCTTGTTTTATAGGAGATCCTAAGCAAGAAGAACCATCAAAGACCGGTAAGAATGAGTAAAAAATCACCCTAAGAACTGTAAATGTGATTTTCTTTCTTGTTCATTAAGGGACACAGGACATTGGGGTTATACTGCCACCTACAGGAGGAATTGGACACCAGCAAACAAAAAAACCAGAGACCAGCCTGATGAAACCCCTCCCACTCCCAACATGCCTTAGTTTTTACTAGTGTCCTAGGAGGATAGAGGCCTTTTCCCGGAAGGTTGAACCATTTAGTAATCAGTTTCTTCTTTGATGAAGACTCCACCCACTGCTTGGCCAAGTCTCTTCACACAGCTGTGGGCATATTCTCAGCTTTGGAGGCCGTACCCCTCTGGACCAGGACCGGCCGGAATGTGACCTTCATGCACTGGGTCATGCACTGGGCTCTGCATTTGGTGCTTTCCCTTTGAGTTAGTTATCCGCAGACCCCACTCCAGGTCCAGAGCCGTGTCTCTGAGGTACCCATTTATGAGTATGCTGAGGAGCACTGAGAGACACTTCTTTTCTTAGGACTTTTGGAAGCCATTACTGTTCCATTTTTCTGTTGCTTGCCATGGAAAGCAATAAAACTAGGAGGGACCGAGTGCTGAGTCGCTAGGTGTAGTGTTGTGTCGCACACTCTGCACTCTGTTTACTCCATTCAGCACCTTCCTAAGTGTAAGAGACATGCAGATCCACTAGTCCTTGCTGACTCCTGCAGTGACCTGGTCACCTCGGGCTGTTTGACCTCCGGTTTCCGAGCACTCAAGGTTTCACGTGGTATTGAGTGATGTTGTTACTGCCAAGAAGTGAATCGTTTCAGATCCCGAGCACAAGGGGAGCAGTCCCACGGTTTCAGGTTCCACCATTTCACAATCCCCTAACGGTTCTGGGGTGGCCTGCAGTGCCCTTCTTAAGGACCTGACAGCCTGGTAGGTTGTCCCTACTTTCCTTGGAAATTGGTGATATTATATCTGAGAAGTTGCAGGCATCTGCCATAGCTTCCAGGCTTACAGAGACTACTTTGGCTCCTATTAATGCTGTGCGTCTCAACTCAAAGCCCAACTGGGGGCACTGTGGCCTCCTGACACTGCGAGTGTTAAATGCTGGTTAGATCTACGGATGGCGTAATAAGCAGTAATAGCACCTTATTCCTCGCTCCAGAACCCTTCCTCTATGCTGTGTGATGGGTTCCCCTCAGCTTCTTCTCTCAGTTGCTCCAACAGTCACATCAAGTTTACTGCAGGACCAACAGTCCTGAATTGTATGTGAGGATGCCGAGGGCCCACCTACAGCCCAAAGCGCTGGAGATGAGAGATCACCAGTGACAAAGGGAGTGAAGAAAAAGGTAAGTATTACAGCCTCTACCCGTAAACGTAATGAGTATTTAAACCTTGCAGTGCAAGGGAGTCCCACTGCAAGGGTGTTTTTCAGGTAATTGCCGGAGTTCAGCCTTAAATATGGGAGAGCATCCTGTAGCTTCTACTAGCGCTGAGAATATTCTGGAATCCCTTAGAGGCCCTGAGACTTCAAACACTTTTGTGGTGCACACGCTACTCCAGGACAACCTGAATGGAGACTTAGAAGACTATTCACACCTAGCCCTAACTATGAGAACAACCTGCCTGCCTCCCTTTCCGTCTGATCCAACACACAGCTCAGGAGAGAGACGGCTGATTCATAACTGCAGCTTGTCACAGCTGTGAGCACCTTCCCGGTGTACAGGAGGAGTACAGAGGGAGGGGGACGTGTTGTCCTCTGCACTTGTCTTGCCGATGCTTATCTCGGGAAAGAACTTACAGCTGAGGCAAGCTGCAGTTATGAATCAGATGTCTCCTCCTGAGCTGTTGTTGTTGGATCAGCTGAGGTTGGGGGGGGGGGGCAGGTTGGTACTCATAAGGGTTGAGGAGCACCTAGCAATATGGGACATACAGTTGCAAGAAAAAGTATGTGAACCCCTTGGGATTACGTGGAGTTTTGCATGAATTGGGGCATAAAATGTGCTCTGAACGTCATCTAAGTCACAACAATAGAAGAACACAGTCTGCTGAACATAATACTATAACAAACATTAGATGTTGCCATGGTTTCATTGCACATAACATGTAAACATTCACAGTGCAGGGAGGAAAAAGTATGTGAGGCCTAGCTTAATGACTTCTCCCAGAGCTGATTGGAGCCAGGAGTGAGCCAACCTGGACTCCAATCAGTGTGATGATATTGGATGTGTTGCTGACACCTGTTTTGGGTTTACTGGTTTCAAGAAGCACTGTCTGATGTGAACCATGCCTCGCAGAAAAGAGCTCTCAGAAGACCTACCATCAAGAATTGTTGACTTGCATGAAGCTGGAAAGGGTTACAAAAAGTATCTCCTTGAGCCTTGATGTTCCTGTGTCCACGGTAAGCCAGACTGTCTACAAATGGAGAAAGTTTAGCACTGTTGCTACTCTCCCTAGGCGTGGTCGTCCTGTAAAAATGACTGCAAGAGCACAGCGCAGAATGCTGCATGAGGTAAAGAAGAATCCCAGAGTGTCAGCTAAAGACCTACAGAAATCTCTGGCACATGCTAACATTTTTGTTGACACATCTACAATAAGGAAAACATGAAACAAGAATGGAGTACATGGGGAGGAGACACCACGGAGGAAGCCATTGCTGGCCAAAAAGAAGATTGCAGCACGTTTGAAGTTTGCAAAAGAGCACCTGGATGTTCCACAGCACTACTGGCAGAATATACTGCAGACAGATGACACCAAGATTGAGTTGTTTGGGAAGAACACAACACTATGTGTGGAGAAAAAAAAGGCACAGCACACCAACATCAAAACCTCATCCCCACTGTGAAACATGGCGAAGGGAGCATCATGGTTTGGGGCTGCTTTGCTGCCTCAGGGCCTGGACGGATTGTTGTCATTGATGGGAAAATGAATTCCAGAGTTTATCAAGACATTTTGCAGGAAAACGTACAACCATCTGTCCGCCAACTGAAGCTCCGCAGAGGATGGGTGATGCAACAGGACAATGACCCAAAGCATACAAGTCATTCAACAAAACAATGGCTGCAACAGCACAGAATACGCCGTTCTGGAGTGGCCCAGTCAGAGTCCTGACCTCAACCCCATTGAAATTGCTGTGGCATGACCTTAAGAGAGCGATTCACACCAGACATCCCAAGAATATTGCTACACTGAAACAGTTTTGTTGAAGAGGAGTGGTCCAAAATGACTCCAGATCGTTGTTGCAGGTCTGATCTGCAACTACAGGAAAACGTTTGGTTGAGGTTATTGCTGCCAAAGGAGGGTCAACCAGTTATTAAGTCCAAAGGTTCACATACTTTTTCCTCCCTGCACTGTGAATGTTTACATGTTATGGTGCAATTAAACCATGGCAACGTCTAATGTTTGTGTAGTATTATGTTCAGCAGACGGTGTTCTTCTATTGTTGTGACTTAGATGACGTTCAAGAGACATTTTATGCCCAATTC